CCTGGTCAACGAGGTTAATTTTTGTTTGACCGCATGTCAAAATGAAATAAATTTTTGGTTTGGATCGTAACCGGATCAAAAAAAATTTATCGCAGTTTGGTCTATGTGTTTTAAATTATTTCCAATAGTTTAAATATTCTTTATTATTATTGAATTTATTTTAGTATTGTAAAACCGCATCGGAGCTTCTATAAAATAAGTGTCCGAATATGAAAAGAACACTCTACAACACAAGTTGAGAATGTATTTTAATAGGTTCTAGCTAAGGTTTTCTTGATATTTTAAATAAGGATCTCAAAATTAATTATATTTCTTTGATTTGTTGTAACTCATAGTTCCTTTTATGAGCATGGACTTTGCTACCTATCCACTTCCCTAAACATGATATTTTAGGACAAAATTGGTTTTCACTTCGATTTTTTGTTACAAATTTGATTTTTCTTATTTAACGAAAAAATCAGTTTTGTTGTAATCTTTTCAAACTTTTCGCACTAGCCTACCAAATAGCCAGAAAAGAGTCTCACAACACAATGTATTCATATTCCATTAATTAGGTAGTGATATTGTTTAATTGTCGTAGTTTTGGACTTTGATTGACAAAAGCTGCACCAAATCTCACTTATACCATATATACACTAATCTAAACTCATATTGCATTTCTCATAACCACATTTACTCCACTTGGTTGAAACAAAATTATAATAGGTTAAGGATTGAAGTCATAAATGTGAAGTGATAGAAAATCTTGATCAAGTATGTAAATCAGTACAAAAAGATTTCAACAAATGATTAAATAGAATGATTGTGAAACATTCATAATTTATAGCAATATTTGGAGATTTTCACTATATTTAACCATTAAAAATTTCACAAAAAATAAGAATTGAGATATTTTCCCCAAATAAATGTGAATATTCCGGCCAACTGGCCGGGTCCAAGCTAGTCTTTAGAATGGTCGTGTCTATAGAACTAAATAGTAAATAGATAGTTCTTTGCTTTGAGGTATTTCAACCTCAATTCCTCTGTACTCTTGAGCTGATCAGTAGAGAGTTCTTGAACTAGTGCAAGTTCCTTAAAAACCTTCACTGACCACTCTTAAGCATTCCATCGATTTGAGCAAGTCCTTCATCCTCAGCGTCCAATGCTCATAATCTCAATCAAACTTTGGGGATACACACATGTTTAGGCTGTAGCTATTATTCTTACCAATTATGTCTCTGCAGACACAATGCATTCTCATATATGCTCTAGAACTTCGCCACAAAGTACCAATCAGACAACGTCCCTTTGAGGATCTTTTATCTCTACGATAATACAGACAATGGCACGAGGATAAGGAATCCCAGACAACTGCCAAACTCTACAAGAGCATTTTCCTAGCTGCCACTTAAACTGTAAACCTTTCTTCCTTATGTCTAACCTAGTATTCTCCCTTTCCATTTGACCTTATATGGCAGAATACACTCTCTTCAACATTAGCATCCAACTTCCGCAAAATCTTAGGACAATACAGTGCTGTCTGTCCACTTCCTTGCCATTGCCCTCCTATTAGCTATCCTGCATTTATGGGTTTTCAAAGTCCAGTGAATTCAAAGCCCCTCATTCCCTTCATTTTGGATTCATTCCCAAACGAGCAATTTTGCCAAAATCTGATAAAGCTAGTGATTGTGCCGCTGTAGATGAAATTCCATCTAAATTCCAAACGGCTGCTTTCATATTTTTCAGTTTTTGTTTCATTCACCCCCGCCCACCCCGCTCTCTACGTATTCCTTTTGGGTCAATCGCAAGATGTCCTAATTACATGTACAACGTCAAATAAGACTAATGCCCAACCTCGGAGCCCGTCTCAAGATCATCAGCTAAGTTAACAGTTCCGCTGCGTGTGAGCTCAGGCATAAACTTTTCTATGTTTCTCACGGGAGCATCAGAGCATTGTGTACTATCCTAACATCACTATAAGGAGTTTCTGCGGCACAACCCCTTAGATTCTCCTTTCCTGCGCTGTGCGCAATCCACGGAAGGAGAATATTGTCAATAGCCAGGGGCGCCAATTAATTGTGTAAGGCAGACAACTCCCGCAAAATATATTTACCCCAGGCCCAACCCAAACTTGCTTTAGCTAATTGTTTCCCTCCATTCCAACTTTTACTAGGAAGTATAGGTGGCAATTGGATCGGATTGGTGGATTCGTGGATTGGATTGGTGGATTCGTGGATTGGATTGGTGGATTCATGGATTGGATCCAATGGATTGGTGGATTGATCCATGAATCCAATTGACATCCAAAGCTTGGACCAAAATGTAAAATTTAAAAAGTTTTGGCACTAAAATGTCGTAATGAAAAATTTTAGGTGCCAAAATGTAATTTTCCAATGGTATTTTTCGTATAAAAATATAAATTTTAGGTACCAAAATGTAAAATATAAAAAATATAGGTACCAAATCTTAATTTGCCATTTGGATCCATGGATTGATCCATGAATCCACCAATCCAATTGGATTTGGATCAAATGGATTAGATTTAAATGGATTGGATTAGGTGGATAATTTGGTGGATGAATTGGATTGGATTCATGGATTTGGATCCTAATTGCCACCTCTACCAGGAAGATAAAATAAATAAAAAATGTTTAGATCTCGGTAGACGAATGATATTCGATTGACTAATTGTTTGTTAATGACAATAATAAAACATAACCCATTACACCTATTCTTTACAAATTTGTCCGTTTTGCGACCCGCACAATTTTTTTCAAGAAGCCCCATTTTGGTCCCTGCACTGCATGCCTTCCTTTGGTTTATGTACAATATCCGTAGCTACATATGATAAGATTATTATTATATAACATAAAGATTTCATCTATGATTTTCTCTATTTACACAGTTTCGACACTAAAATTGTGCTTCTTTATCTCATTACAATTCTTATATAGATTCAGGATACAACTTTGAGTTCAACATTAGATTTTCAGCAGTCAACAGCAAGTGTAATATTTTTTTTAAGAAATTGACGCACATAAGTCAAAGTTGAAAGATAATTTATCAACCATTGACCAAATTCCAGATCCTAAAACAGATCCTGAATGTTACGAAGTAGTTGCAAACTTTATGTTTCATGGTTCATGTGCCATTCAATGACCTAAAGCCTCATGTACAACTAATGGTGTATGTTTTAAACATTTCCCGAAGGAATTTTGCAGCCAAACAACTATAGATGGCAATGACTCAAACAGACTTTGTTGTTATGGATTGAGAGAGTGATCGATTTTTGGTATATATGCTGAGAGACTATTCCAAGACAACGATCGAATGAGAGGGCCACCACCTGCTCATCTACTACAAATTGAGGGAATGACGTTGAAATTCGACATCAAGCTCACTGATTATAACATCGCAAACCAAACAAGTGAGTACACAATTTGCAAGATAGGCTGGAGGATGATAACAATAACTCAAACGATCACCCCGAATCGTGAAATTATATTCACTCTTATTTACAAGAATGCATTATAACCACATGATTTGGAAATTCTATTCAAAATGAACCCTCTAATTATAATTTAATTACAATGCCATCTCAACTGCTCATACATTGATTTTGCAATGCGTTTAATTTAATAGCTTAAAATAGTGCAACATTTCTTTATTTCCTATTCACTTGCATGCTGCTGCATACTTGAATAAATAATCATCCTAAATACGTCTTCACTTACCAAATATTATGATTTTATGATTCAATAAAACAACAAATATGTTTTGTTTTTTAATGCCAAAAAACTAATATCATTATCCTAATTATGCAGGAGATCCAAAATAGCATTGGCAATGATGCGGGGACAGGAATCGGTGTAACAAATGATGATGCTCTTGAGAAGAAGGTGGAGTCTCCTGATATTGAACCAAAATAGAGCACTAATGGAGAAGAAGACTTCAATACCGGTGGAGATGATGATGTTGCTAATGACAAAGGAAATGCATACAAGCTAAAAAGAAAACATGGAGTGATAGTCTCTGACGATGAGGAATAAATAGAATGATTAGCGAAAGCAAATTAAGAGTCGATTCCCTGACATAGGGTTTCTATATTATTTTTTCAGAAAACAATTTTACTCGATGAGTCGGTTAGGATATTCGGAAAATACTATGATTGTGATCCTTTACAATGGTTCAAGTATTTTACTGTTGCACTTTGTTTACATTTGGAAGGGGTAATTTTTCATTACAATTAAAAAACAAATTTTTCAACTCATACATGACAACACGTTAATCACAGTATTATACAGTGATGAACAGTATAATCATTTTTCAACTTCCAAGTAAATGATATGTTATGAATTTGTCCATTGAATTCATTTGGAAGGGGTATAATCATTTTACTGGATTTAATTAATAAAAAATTAATTTATTATTTATGCTATGATTTTAAAAGTTAATGTTGATGCGAATTGGTGGAATCAGGTATAAAAGTTTATATTTGACGGTAAATGTGGTATTTAAATATGTGTATTTATTATTTTATTCAAAATGTCGTCTATTATTTAAATATGAATATGAATTGTAAGTAAATTATCTTCAAATATGTTTTATATATGATTGCATTTATTTTGATGTTAATGGATTTGCACATTAATATATATTTTGTTAATCAGCATTTTGATTGAATTGTAAGTACACCACACTAATTTTTTTTATGAATACCAACAATGAGGAGTATATAACGGTTTTTTCACAAAAATTTACGGAGTCGGTTTCCTGACATAATGTATGTCTTTCATTTTTTGTAAAACAATTACACTCGATATCCGGATAAAATGTCTAAATATACTACCAAATAAACGTAAAGCTCACATCAAAATTGCTATTACTATTTACGCGATTGGCATATGAATCCGGCCAATCGGCCGGGCCTGTAACTAGTGATACTTAGATTGTTTCTGAACCTGGGCTGCGTTTTCTAGTCAAAGCAGTGGACTTCCTCGGATACAACTTTAACAGCTTGATCAGCTCCAAAGTCCTCGTGTCCCGTCCTAGATGAAGGCAGAGCTCCAGCGGGGTTAAACCATCCTGATTAGCTCACAGTTAAACCAACAGAAATGCTCAATTAGCACGCACTTGAGAGATAAAAGGATGAAATTCATTTGTCACAAAGATCATACCAAGTAAGACTGTAACCCAAAAAGGAAATCTGTACCTTGTCTGTTAAGGTTTTATCCGCGCCTTTGATGAGTAAGAGTTTCACAATGTCAGTCCTTCGAGCTTGAACAGCAAGATGCAACGGGGACCAACCATCCTAGTAACAATAAACAATAACGTGGGTTATCAATTATAGCAGGGAGATGCTGAACCCCCCCGGAGATAAACATAAGAGAACATATCAAAATAAAAGCTTTACATTGTCCTGGAGGTTTATATCAACATTATATAGGAGAAGCAGCTTGATAGCCGGAATGGATGCTGTCTGGACAGCATAATGCATCAAGGTGCCTCCGTCCTACCACCAGCAAGGAAAGGGAGATGATTGTGTTATAGCTAATAAATCTAACCGGTTTAGTGAAGCGAGTGGCATTGTACACACAAACGTGAGCTTAATTGCTTACCGCATCTCGAATGAAGGGATTTGCTGACTCTCTCAAGAGGTAGCTGGTAACGGCCTGCTTTTTGCCTATTATCGCCTTGTGGAGCGCACTCACACCCTCCTGGAAAATTCAAATACAAGGACGAACAGAAGTTAGGGTACCCTTTCTGATAAGGAAGGGAACCAGATGGGAGAAGAATTCAGAGGGATAAGGCAGCATACATACAGCATCCACGGAATTGATGTCAAGGTTATGTTTGAGCAAAGTGTTCATGAGGTAGAATTCTCCAGATGCAGCAAGCGTGTGAAGAGGTTGCCATTTCACCTGCAAAAAGCAGTTCACCGCGCAATTAACAACCACCCATTGCCTGATTCTGAGAACACAACCCACAATGCCGCTTTGGAGACGACTACCCACTTCATTTGTTGTATAGGAAATAGATCACAGAAAGCAAATCAGTGATGAAAAGACCAACAACTCACACAGGTAACAGCTGCTAAATCCGGGATGCGTCTGTTCAGGAAAACCTTTTCCTCCTTCGTAAACAACTTCCGGCGGCCTAGTTGTTTCAAAAAATGGCATATCAGGGTGAGTGCACTCATTATTGGAGCCACCAATTTTGCAAAAAGGAAGCAAACAAATACCTCCCGGGTTCTTCTCTCCGGGCTGGTACTTCCCACTCCTGAAAAAATCGTTAACATCGTCGAAGCCCTTCCCGTAAACCGCCCACCTAGGGTTCCGGGGCGCAACTCGCTCACTTGGATTCTTCGTTTCATGCCCATACTCGTACTCATCCTCATCATCAAACTCTGCCTCTGCCTCATCCGAATCCTCGTCATCTTCAGGAGATGCCGCGGGGTTATTGTCAAGATACAGTGGCTTCAACTGAGCCAACTTAGCCTCGCGAAAAGCCTTGTACTCGTCCAAATTCACGCTCCTCACAGGGGCCAATCCTCGGGTCTTCCTCTCCAGCCGGCTATTGAACTGCATCTCCTGCGCAATTCTGCGCCTCTCCTTCTTGGTAATGTTAATTTCCGCCTGTGTTTCTCGCCATTCGTCCGGGACCAAGTTCTCCGTCGGGATCTCCTGAGTGAGCTTCTTCTTCCTGCGCGGAATCTTGGTCGGGGTGGGAGAATCACGGCCATCGAGAGACGGGTCTTCGAAAATGCCTTCTTCGAAGACGAGACAGTCGCCGATGGCAGGGTCGTCCTCGGTGTAGAAAGAGGGGGATTGAAGAGACTGGGAGACAAAGCAGAAGCTTCTGGGAAATTTGAGGGTCCGAATTGAAGAAGACAGCTTGAGAGGAGCGAGGAAGGCAAGAGGAGAGGGCAAGTAGGGAGGCGCTACTGGAACTGCCATTGTTTTTTTTCTTCTTCTTCCTATTGCTTGCTCCGTGCTCCCGTTGCCCTTGCGTAGCGTTAGCTTACCTCTTAGGGTTAATTAGCACAAAAGGTCACAAACCTATACACTTAGTACAAAACGGTCACGAATCTTTAATTTTGCACGTTTCAGTAACAAATGTTTGGACGAATAACAAAAATGTCATTCCGTTCAATTCCATCCAAAAACACTGTTAGTCATGCTCAGTCAGCATGCCACATCATTTAAAATATTAATAAAAAATTATGAATGAAACCCAGTCAACCCAGGATCAACCCAACCGGTTGCCGAGTCAAACCCCACATCATCGTCGTATACCCCACCATCGACACTACCTCCGCCAAAAACATCTCCTCAATCTCCCAAAATCTCCAGTTCGACGAAACTTCCCTTTGCATCCAATGGAAATCCCAAAAATTGCATATTTCCGTTTATTCCCAATCGACATAGACCAAACCTTAGCAGACTCCATTCTTCCTTTCTTTCTTTGTTTTCTCTCGTTTCTTCTAGTGCTTTAGAAACACCCTTGCCAAAAAAGAAGAAGGGTAAACAAAGGATGTTTTAATCTTTATTCCCTGTCCAACCTCCCTCTCTCACCTCTCTAAATCCCTCGACATGCGCTGTAATGATAAAGGCCGCCTTTAATCTCGCAGTTCAGCTCCGTGAAGAAAGTTCAACTCCCAACTCTCCGGCATCATGTCTCACGCGGCCAGGTTTCGGTGCGGCAGCCTGACACGCCACGACGCTCAGATCGACGAATTCCGCCTGAGAATCAACGTCTTGCTCTACCCATGCCCGAATAGAGTGATGTTGCCGGCAAGATGAGCAATAGCCCCAATTCCAACTACCCTTTTGAGGTCGGGATCCGTTCCACCCAGGGAAACCCCATCGCCATCAATTTAACGAACTTTGTTGATATTCACGATATCAATCCCTTGTTTGATATTTTAGGGAGATGGGAAGACAGTGAGCTTGAAGCCCCCAATTTCAGCTGGAGTATGAGTTCGACATCCAAAGCGCATTTTGGGCTGGTCGTGAAGTTATCGCCTGCGCGGAGTCCGGCATCTACGCCGGTAACGGCGGGGGAAGGAGGGAGAGCGACAATGTGGAAAGTGGCGGTGGCGAGCAGCGTGGGGAGTACGTTGGGGATTGTGGTACTGGGTTCAGCCGCCACTGTCAGGGATTCCCATCTGATGCGGTGAGGTAGAGGGGTTGAGTCGGCAACTGGTTGGGTTGAGTCTGGGTTGATTGGGTTTGATCATTTTTTTTTTAATATTTTAAAGACGTGGCACGCTGACTAGGCATGAGTAACAATTTTTTTGGATGGAAATTGGATGGAAATTGACGGAATGACATTTTCGTTATTCGTTCAAACATTTGTTACTGAAACGTGCAAAATTAAAGATTTGTGACCATTTTGTACTAAGTGCATAGATTTATGACCTTTTGTGCTAATTACCCTACCTCTTAGCCACTCACAGTCACAGTACGAAGGCCGATTTCGACGGACCGAATTAACCGACAACTCTGGCGAAAGCCCTAATGGGTTGCAATTTGCAAAGGCTACATACACTTGGATAGTGGTAACTTCATACTTTCTGACAATAATAGACAAGTTTTAAAAAATTGCACTAAATTAGTCATTCCGTCTTTAGGTTACCTAATTTGTTCCTCTTGAGTGGTTGCTCTCGCTTTGGAGCTTGGAAACACTGATCGCAATGGGGTCGCTCAAAATTCGCGAATCCATTTATGCTAGAGCGTGAATCCATTATCAACGGAGCGTGAATTACCTTTAGCTCGATGTTAATTATGCCCAGTGCCGACTCGACCGAGTTTTCGCTGCGTTGTTTATGTTATATCGTTGTCGGTTGTGGTGGGGATTCGGCACAGGTGGTGGTGGCGAAGTTGGGCGGCGGAGGCGGAGAGAGCCGAAATCCGTCCATAACTTTACATGAATATCACCGCTACTTTACCTTACCTACCATCCCCTCTCTTCCCCATTTTCGCTTCATCCTTCATCGTCGTCCTGATGAGATCCAAAGAAGGAGCATATAGCTTGAGAGAGGAGGACGCTTCATCTCAAATTAAACTCAAGTTGGAAAAGGAAAGTGATGAAGACTGGAACTTCATCTTGGAGAAGAAGCATCTTCTATAGCATCTTCCACATCAACCACGATGGGAGAGGAGCAAAGAATCATTGTCCTACCCACTCTATATGAGTATTGAAGACCAAGAGCTTCCAATATTAATTTGAGCATTGTTGTGCTACCAACAACTATGGACATCCACACTTCATTGATGTAGATGGTGCAACAAGATAGGAGATTCACAAGAAGGAGTTATGACGATCCGATGCATCATCTAAAGATCTTCTTGGAGATCATATATTTCATTATAGGAGATGAAGCAACCAAAGGTGCCATTCGAATGAGAGTGTTCCCTTTCTCACTGGCGAGAAAGGCAAAGCAGTGGCTAGACCATCATCCGCCCAACACCTTTACCAATTGGGAGATCATGTCGCAAGCATTAATCAAGGAGTTTTCCCACCTTGGTGGGTGAAGGAGCATAAAGAAGAGATCATGCAATTCCTTAAGAAGGAAGGAGAGACGTTCGATAACGTTTGGAGGAGATTCTAGGAGCATCTGAAAGCACAACCCCATCATGGATTCACCCAAGAGCAAGTGGCAAAGTACTTCGCTGAAGACCTAGATTGAGATACCACGATGATGATGAACCTGTCAGTCGATGGTGATTTCATACAGATGACAGGAGTCTAATGCTAGGAGCACTTTTCCCACACTTGCAAGGAAGTCAAAAAATTGGTCCAAGAGACTACTGATGAAGGCATTGAAGGTGACCCAACGAATCAAGGAGGTGAATATAATCCTACATTGACAGATGAAAGAGCTTTCACAACAATTGAAAGATGTTGTGATGGAGCCAAATGACTATCCAAGGACCACCTTAACAAATGTCCCTTATGTTCATGATCAACAATGGAGCAAGAAGCCCAATCCACTCGAATAGGGGATTCAGCCACATATAAGGAGCAAGGAGGATGTTCTTCCACCCAACAACCTAATTGTTTCGAGAAGATAGAAGCACCACTCATGGTTTGCAAGCCAACTTTCAACATAGTAAAAATCAACTTGCAATCCTTATTGATGCGAGACACCAGAAGCTTCAAGGGAATCTTCTCAGCAATGCAGAGAATAATCCAATGACCAAGATATAGTATGGGTAGGCGAAGTAGTTCAACCTCCACCAGCCCTTGAATAGAAGTTCTTGCAAATGGCTCTTAAAATAGCCAGTACAATGCCAAAGATTGTGCTAGAGAGAATCGTAGACCCGAACTATGAAACATTAAAGGAATATCAAGATTTCATACTCTTTCATCGCCAAAACTGATTCAATCCACATCTAGTTGAACCAACAAGGGAAACTACAAGTGAATGGGGCGATGGATGGACATCAAAAATTGATTCACCATTTGAAAAGGAGTATAATTATTCCTAGCTCAAAGACAAAAAAGAAAGAGCGATTCATGACAGGCATCCCATGTCTGGCGTCAAACTTAATGACATTAAACAAAAGTGCTACCGAGAAGACAACATGAATCTTTTTTTTTTGTTTAAAATTTTGAGTTTATTGATAAATGATGCCAAGGTTGTGAACCTAATTTAGCCCGTTGACCGGTTGAGCAAGTGGGCTAAAGGTTTATGGTTGGATCATTTTAGTCCGGTTTAGCCCTATTGTTAAACAACATATATTGTAGTGATCTGATAATATGATGAATGAAATTTAATTTATTTATAAGTACCATATAATAATTTTATATTAACCCTACAACTATTATTAAAAAGAAGTCTACAGCTGCCCCCGACTAAAATCCCCACAACTGCCTTTCTTCTATTTTCCTTCAAATGGAGTTGGCCTCTTTTTCTTTTAATTTTACAGGCGGCGGTGGAAACAAAAGGGCATATTATATATGAAGGTTGTAAGAATAATCCCTCAACTGGGCTGCAAATGATGGATAGATTTGTTCAAGCACAACAGGTTCAGTTGAGCATCGGCGATAAATATTTGATTCCTCTTTTGCCAATATCTTGTATACATCCTCTTCTATAACCGCTGCGTCATACCCTTCCTCAACGTTGTAGCGGACGATGTTATATTTTAGCACCAAGCGCAGTTTCATTCTTCTGCATGTGAGTCTGCGAGGACGAAGAAGGGTTCACGTGAAAGGGAAAGGGTAGTTGAATCGCCTCTCCTTTGCTGAAACAATGGAGTGAAGATGGGCACCCAGAAACTATAATGCAGTCAACCCGACCACTTTTCACCCAGGATGTATTGCAGGAAAAGGATAATCTAAAATTTCAAGGTGTCAATTACATACTATCTATATACCGATAGATCGATTCACGTGTCTGCGGAGACTCTACGAAGAAATAGCTAAGCTAGCAACATTAATAAGGTTTGTAAGTACTTTATAAGACTACGACTGTGTGTTGTGACTTTCTATTTTGGCAAAGTTATGATCGTCAAAGTTTGACGAAATCAAAAAAATTGCTCATTTGCGGTAACAATGACGTTATTTCGGGACGAAGGCAGGTTCAAACCTCCTTCGACACTTCTGCTCATGTTTCTGACGATCCGGCCTCCCTTGCACACTTAGAGACTATCGTGAGGAACCATCAAAGAGCGGCCGAGTGGAGGAGGCACATGCTTGACTGCACTCACGAGCTTATTAGGTTTATGATATCGATCCGGCTGCAGTCACCCACACCTACGTGCGCACTCCTTCCCCACCGCGTTTCAACTACATTGGCGAGGAGGAAGAGGTTGAGACAGAAGAGGATGAGGACTAGACCTTAGAGTAATTGATGGCATCTCATTGCCATTCTCTATCTTTTATATTCATAGTTTGAACTCCTGACAATTTCAGTTTCCGTAGTTTTATCTCTTATTTTGAATAGTACTTTTCTTTTTACTATCTTTTAGTTTTAATTTTCGTACTTTAAGTCTTTTAGTA